CCTGCCTGGACCCAGTGCAGAAGTGGACAAGGACGTGGTGACACGTGTGCCCACGAGACCTTCCAGCAGGGAGGAGGCCAGGCAGCAAAGTACACAACAGGCAGCAACTCTTTTAACCACCAGGCTCCTCTTCAGAGCCACGTTTCTGCACGAAACAAAACCTGGCCAAGGTAAAAATCCCACCCAACGTTTTTCTTTGAGGAAGGAAAAAGAAAAGGCAGGAACCTTCTCGCTCGCCGCAATGGTTTTCATTTTCCACCAAATGAACTCGAGCCGAGCCTCTGGCTGCCGGCAGATCCCCTCCTGCCTGCTCACTGCCTGTGTGCTTGTGGGAATGTGTGGGTGTGTGGGTTTTGTTTTGCTTTCTGCACCGCTCTGCAGACCATCTCCTGCTCTGGGCCAGCGCAGCCTGCACGGCTCAGCCCAGCTCCATCACCCAGCAGGGTGGGCATCCCACTCTTCAGCTACACCCTCCTCCTCTCCTCCAAAGGCTTCCAGAAACATGGCCTGCAGGTATCCCAGCCCTCAGGGTGCTGCAGAGCTGTTGGCATTGCCAGTCACTCTGAGAAGGTGCCTGTGTGGAGGGGAGAGTGCAAAGTGCTGGCATGGCTGTGTCCCCTGGGACAGGGGACAGCAGCACCAAGCAGGGCACCAGCACAGCCTGCAGTGGGAGAGCAGCTTTTACTGAAGGAAGGAACCTGCCNTGGTGTGTCCAGAGTGGGGCCAGCCATGATTTATCCTGCTTTCTTCTTCAACAGCCCCCCCTGCACCCTGCCAGCAGTGCCAGCCATGGGCAGCACCAGAGCAGCTGGAAAATCACCTGGCACTGCCATGAGCTGAGCCAGAGCCAGGGCAGCTCGGCCTTGGGGAGCACAAAGTGTGCAAACCCTGACCCCTCACACACACTCAGAGCCTCGTGGTTGAGCACAGATCTTTGGTGCATCCAGAAAAGCAGGTGGCACATCCTGCTGGAGCAAGGCTGCCTCCGAAAACCCAGCAGGGCAAAACCTGAGCCAGAGACAAAATCATCCTCGGGGTTACAAACCGCCCGGTTCAACCCTCAGCTCCCTTCACATCCTTGGCAAATCTCTACTCCCCAAACTTCAGACCCACTATTTAACAAAAAAAAATTTAAAAATCACACAAAAAACCCCCAAAAAACAACCAAAAAAAAAAGATTGAAATATTTCTCCCCAGCGAGGTGCAGAGAAACACACATTCGGTGCCGTCGTCAGCAACTCCTACACCGCCCCCCACGTTCACCACTGCAAGGGGGGAGCAGGAGGGGGTTCACAGGCACCTACACTGAAAAAAAAATGAGATTTCTGCCTAATTTGGTTAATCAGCCAAGCGAGCAGCATGGATCCATAGGAGACTGTCCTGTGTTCCCTTCATGGGGCAACAAAATCTCTGTGGCCAGTGCAAGCATCACCTCCCTCTGACAGAACCATGATCCTTGGAAAATTCCAAATTCCAAATGCTGCTCCCAGTTTGAGCATACTGGTAACTGAAAATGCAAAAAAAAAAAATTAAAAAAATATAAAAGAAGGGGTTTATTAAGTCTTGGAATCACCAGAAAAACTCATAGTGCTGTCAAAGGGGACCAAAACCCTTCAGT